ATTGTGTAGTTGTCTTAGGCAAAGCAACATTGCTGTCAGTTTGTGGAGAACAACCTATAGTCTTGACAATAGCCTTGTCAATTGACAATAGCCTTTGATGATTCTCATAGGACCCCTTAGACTAACAATTCAATTATATATAACCTAATTCCAGCACTGGAAGCTTCATTTTGTGACAAGAGATGTCTAGCTAGGGCTCTGTCTTCTCCACTATTTGACAATTTCATTCAAATAATCTTCATATATGTATATATTTATGAAAATTCTACTGCTTTATGTTTTCATACCACCACTCAGATGGCCCCTAGGTTTAGTTGTCTCTTCTTGTATTCTCTCCCTTGTCCCGCCTCTCCTCCCCACTTGATATTCTGGTTCCAGTTGCCCACCTCTCTTCCGCTGGCCATTCATCTATAACTACTTATTCTATTTACCGTTTCTAATGAGATCTGTGCTGCCTAGCTCTTTACTCCATACCTAACTTCTGTGGTTCTGAGAATGGTTGACTATTATTGAGCTAACAGGTAATATATACATATAAGCAAATATATACCATCTTTGTCTTTCTGGGTCTGAAATATCTCACTCAGGATATTTTTTTTATTCAAACCATTTGCCTGTGAAGTATATGATTTTGCTCCTTTTTACAGCTGGTCAGTATTCCATTGTGTAAATGTTCCACATTTTCCTTTTCCATTATTCTGTTGAAGAACATCTATCTTTTTCTAATTTCTGACTATTTTACATAAAGCAGCAATGAACATGGTTAGGCAAATGCCTCTGTGGTATGATGATATGTCATTTAGGTATATGTCCAAGAGTAGCATAGCTGGATCTTGAAGTAGATTGACTGCCATCCTTATGAGGAACCACCATACTACTGACTTTTCATATTGGCTGTACAAGTTTGCATTTCCACCAGCAAAGGATGAGTGTTCCCCTTACTGCATACTTTCACTAGCTTGAACTGTCATTTGTTTTATTGATTTTAGGCATACAGACAGGTGTAAGATGAAATATCAAAGTACTTTTGATTTGTGTTTCTCTGATGACTAAGGATGCTGAACATTTCTTTGTTTCTCAGTCATTAGAATTTTCTCTTTTTTGATTTCTCTGTATTTCTGTAGGCTTCTTGTACCTTGATAGATATCTACTTCCTTACATTAGGGAAAGTTTCTTCTATGATTTTGCTGAAAACATTTTTGTACTGCTTACGTTTCCATGGATTTCTTCAAGGGATTCATTCATTTCCTCTTTAAGGACCTCTGTCTTATTATAAAGGCTGCTTTCAGGTGTTTCTCTTGTGCTTCAGTTATGCTGCAACACTCAGGGTCTGCTATGGTAGCGTTTCTGGGCTTTAGTGGAGACATTGTCCTGGTTGCTATTGACTGCATTTTAAGGCTGGTATCTAAGCATCTGAGTTTGGGAAGATTGTAAGTCTAGGTGCTGATATCTGAGACTGCCTTGTTGGGTGGGTAGGTGCTTTTACCCCTGGTTTTTGTTGCCTTTTCTGGTTCTTAGGGAATTTCATGGCTGTGCGTTGCTTGGTTGGAGATTCTTCTATGATCCATCTAGGCATGTCACTGAGGATTCTGGGTAAAATGTTTCTCTAAGTATTAGAAGTAACACTTCTGAATGGGGATGCTCTGTGGAGTATTGGGGGTTAACTTGAGGGAGGATGGCTGATTCTTCCACCAGAGCCTGCTTAGTCACCTGGGAAAGGAGTCAGAAAGTAAAGAGAGGGTACAACAAGGAGTCTGTACTATAGCTGGGAAAGAACGTGGGAAACTGATTATGGAGAAGAGGAGGGTGACTGGGGACCCAAAGCTTGCCTATCTTTTTTCAGTTGGTCTATTTGCTTCTCTGACAGATTTGGCCAGCAGGTTCTCAGGGAATACCTGCTGGGCTTGGAGTCTGGATGAGTAGGGCAGAAGGTTGGAGGGTAATATCTTCATGAGCTCCTAGACTTGGTGGCAGAAAGAGGGGAGGCAGCAGCAGGTGGTCCTGCTACTGAATTGGGAGTGAGACTGGGTTTGGAGAATAGGAGGGAGAGTGAAGATCTGAAGCTGGCCTCCTGCTTCCCTGAAGTGACCCAAGGGTTCCCAGACTCTGCCTCCTGGAGTTTGGGTGCTAAAATAATGGGACTGGAGGAAAGGAGGCTTGGAGGAGAAAGATCTGTGTGATTCTCTGGAGATGGGGGCAGAGAGGAAGGGGATGGCACAGCAGATGGTCTGTTACAAGCTGGGGGCATTGATTGGCGGGGAGAGGAAGAGGTAAAAATCAAATCACAATCGTTGTTAGGATAAATTCTATTTTCAGTCGCTTGAAAGTCAATCATGAGACTAAATGTTGGTTTTCTAAAGTTTAAAAACTCTGTAGCATTTTACAAATCTAGCTTTCTGTTATTCCCAGGGAAGCACACCACTGGCACAGATTGGGATTAAAAGATGGAAGTCCATTGGTCATATGAATCAAAACTAAGAACACAGTAGTATAGTTACTCTGGCAAAGTACACCCCAAAATAAACTTAATAAGAAATAAAGAGGCCACTATATATGACTTAAACAAGGAATTCATCAGGAAGACTAGGCAATTGTAAATATGTATACATTGAACATTGGGGTTTTCAATTTCTTCAAACACCAATGAACAAAGAACAGAACTACAGTTCTTGCTATTATAATAGTGGATGACTTACACGTCCACTGCCACTAACGTTTAGGTCTTCCAGACTAAAAATCCATGAAACAACTTTATAATTAGTATCTACTGACTCTGCCTTCTTTTTCTCAGCATTCAGTGTAGTTTTTCCACCTAATTCTATTCTGCCCTATCACTGGCCAAAGTAGCTTTTTCACTCATTAACCAATAAAAGCAACACATATACTGAAGGACTTCCCACATCACCTCACAGTTCTCACAATAAGAGTACCACCTTCTTCACCATTCTCAGTTTCCATGGGGGGGGGGGAACTTACTTCAAGGATGATAGAATATGCAGCTACTTCCAAGTAGTCTTTCTGATTACATATGGTGGCAGGTATTGCTCCTCTTTCTAAACTCATTCAGCCGCTGGTTTGCAAGTCTCACCTTAACCTTCTGCTTCCCTTTGTGTAGTTGAGTATGTACTGGCTGGCATGAGTAGAGAATAACTTTCCCTAGAACAAAGATGAAGTCTTCCCTTTATCCTATTCCTTATAGCAATGCTGATAAACTGTGAAAAGAGGGTCAGATAAATTAATTAGTGTAATAAATACAGGAATTCATATGGGAGAATTAGCAATGTAATTAGAAAGATAGTCTTTTAAAATTATTTTTATTCCTATTTGTAGTCCCTGTTTGTGGGGCTTTTCAGGAGAAATTTGAGGTCTTCCTAAGAATATTTGGAGTCAAGTATAACCAAAATTCTGCCGTCAGCTGAATCTATAGTTCACATTACAAGGCGCGGATGGGCTTTGGGATTGGTTTGAGGGCACAGCGCAGCTGCCTAATGTTTTATGGGACCATTTTATACAGCAGGGTTTCTCATTTTCAAAGAGCCTCATTAAAAATCTTATTAAACTATTAAGTGTCTACAAGGTGATTTTGTGGCTGTAATTACAAATGCTCATTTAGGCAAGAACTATTCCCACCTTCACATGGCAGATTTTTGCTTTTAGCTTCCTTCTTAATAATTGCCTAAGTTTTAGCTTCTTTGTTTTGAGGAAAATGTTTAAAATACCTTACAATAATGCTTTCCACAAGTTATAAAATGACTTGACTTATTCCAGAGATAATTCTACCTTAATCTATATTCCTAGAACATGTTGCCTATTCCTTCTGCCTCTAGTCTCTGAGGACTTGCTGAGGGCTCTCTGTGTATGTGGGGGATAGGTATTTTCTGAAGTGTTTCAGGGCTATGGGGACTCTGTTGACATCTACACTGTGACTCAATAGCACGAGCTGAAGGCAAGCGGAAGAATATTCAAAATGTAAGTTAACTTCTGGACGTCCCCCCCAGTCATGCCACATGGAGAGGGACTCCAAGTTCATTTCAAGCAGACTCCTGTCTTAGGATCTTTTCACTTGTTCTACTTTCCTCAAGATACTCTTCCCCTAGATGTCTGTGAGGCCAGCTTCCTTATTTCATCCTGATAGATTTTATGAAGTGACATTATCACAGGGACTTGCCTGACTACCCAAATTAGCCTCTCACTTTCTGCCCCGCGCTTCCGTCTCGCCTGCAAGAACCACGCGGGACACAGGATTCTTCTGCAGTAAAGCTTTAATGCTCCTTGGGAGAGCGGGCATCAGCCAACATGGCGGAGACCCAGATAAGATGGAACCCATCCCTTATATAGGAAACAGACCCTGCTTTGGACGTGTCATTCTTGGATTGGTCAACTGCTCCCAGTCCCAGGTGAAACCTTGGGAGTAGTGGAAAAATACCAACACGTGTGAGCTTTCTAGCTCACCTGGCGGTGCAGCGCCATCTATGGTGGAGAGTGTGGTTGCAGCCTCCTACAACTTTCCACTCACCGCTACCCCCACAGTCACTCATGTCTTTCTGCTTAACATGCTTAGCTTCCCATTGCATCTCTTCAAGTCTCTAGCATGGGATAAAGGTACTTATTTTATTTTCTGTTGTCTCTAGCTTCTGAAAGATAAGTTCTAGAAGAACAGGGTCTTTGTTTTTCTGATTGTTCTATTCCTCAAGTTTAGAGCAAAGTCTGCCTGAAGAAAAATGTATTGAATTTAAATATCTCATTTAAATTAATTACAGTAATTTTTGGAAAATATTTATCTTGGTGATAAGTAGGAGTGTTGGCCTGCATGTGTATATGTATAGCTCCTGAGTGCCTGGTGCCCATGGAAGTCAGAAGAAGGCGATGGGGACTGAGCCAGAGTCTTCTGCAAGAACAGCAAGTGCTCTTAATTACTGAACAATTTTCAACTCCAAGAATAATATACTATTAATAAGTACATGAAACTTTAAAATAGTAAGTGTAGCATTCACCTTTATAGAAGGAAAAACCGATGGTCAGATTGGTGGTGCAGCTTCCAAAGAAACCATGTAGTCATTACTAAGTTTGGGATGCCACCCTGCTGCCAGACTTCTAGAGCATGTCTTGTACTCCACATGAGAAACTGTCCCACAGTTTAAACGTTTCTATGAGGAGAACTAAAAAGAAACAACAACAAAGCTCTTTTGGATGTCTGGAATCAAGAAGTGTGTGAGGGATTTAATTACTTCCAAGGCACAGAGCAATTTCCATATTATTGAGGCCCAGAGATGAACCTGTATCTTTTCTGTGCATTTAACATACACGTTGTTGTTACAGAGCAATTGGGCAAGCAGGAAACACACTGAGAAGTCAGCATTCCTCACGGCTTAATAACAACATATCGTTTTGTCAAATGGAATGCCACAGCATGTGGCAGCTGATGCCATTAGTTCTTGGTAGTGGCATTGTGGAGTATAAAATATATCATGTGTAGTGAACGGCTCCTCTTTGGAGTCCTTCCTAATAGGATAGCAAAAAAGCTTACCTAGAAAACATTTAACATAACCTCTCAAAGGCAAGACCCTGTTTTAGTCTCATTTTAATGTGTCTTGTTTTTCTTAGGGCTGGTATCCATCTAAACCTGATCCTTGTCCTTGCCCCAAGGATGCTGTGTCACTGATGCTAGCCAGCAACCAGTTTAAACTGCATACTCTATCATACTACTAGTGAGGCCATTTCTTTGCCATCAACTGCCTGGTTTTCTCTTTTCACTGACTCGTGCATTTAGTTTTGTGTTCTTTTCAACCCATTTATACTCATACCTATGGAGAGTTTCCTCAAACTAACACATATTCCCTCTTCTCCACTTTCATCTTTTGCCCACACATTCCACAGCAATTGTCCTTCTAGTGAAAATCCTCAGTACACTTATCTGGACACATTCTTTTACTTTCATGTCCTTGCTTGCCATACATGGTGGGGAAGTTAGATAGAAATGACAGCCCAACACCCTGCTCTACAGCTTCTTGAATGGGGAATCTGACATCATCCATCAGTGGTAAAAAGCAGTGATGGTCCCCTATTGTAAATCAAAGGTCTTACAGCAGTAGAAATACGAAAATTTGTGAGTATCTAAAGATTTAGATATTTTACATTAATTACTAAAAGAATATGCTTTAAAAAGCTATTTTACCCAAAAGTCAATATAAGCTCAGTGTTCAAAGACTCCTTAAAATACCATAGTTCAGTCAGGTGGTGGTGCACACTTTTTATCCCAGCATTTGGGAGGCAGAGACAGGCTGATCTCTGTGAGTTTGTGGCCAACCTGGTCTACAAGAGCTAGTTTCAGGAGAGGCTCCAAAGATACAGAGAAACCCTATCTCGAAAAGCCAAAAAAACAAAACAAAAACAAACAAACAAAAAAACAGTGCAACCTTCTCTGTTTACGGAAAGAGAAATTGAAGGTCAGTTTGGTGATGTGACCTACATGGAAACCCACTGGCCGTTGTTAAGGCTGGGTCCACATCTGCTGTCAGACTTCAAGAGTAGATCTCGTACTTCATCTAAGGAACATTTCATGTCACCTGACTGTTGTGGAGCATAAATGTACAGAGTACAGTTTTCCCACACTCCTAGAATGCAGAGACCATTGCTGCTTCTGTAGCCCTATGAAGATCCCAGGTTCATCTAGAGTGGGATTTCCTTAGAACTTTTATCCAGTTCTCACCAACATTGGGGCAGGTGCTGACATCATGATGTGGAAGAAAATGGTTGCTCATCACGAACATTATGAAAAGAATTGGGAGTGGTTTTTCCAGATCAGCACGTGTGAGACTCTCTACTCAGAATACAGATGGCTCGCTCCATGGCTCGATCCTTCTTGCCCCTGTAAGTGTATGTGTGTTGGTGAGGGAAGGGAAGAGGAGGAGCCACAAAAGCCTGGGAAAATTCCTCTGGTAAAACTATCTGTGATCTCTTAATTCACAGTTTTCCCCTCACACATCACTGCATATGGGAATTGTTTAGAAACACACATGTCTTGTTTATGCCCATTTATACGGCTAGGAAGAAACCTATGTGTACCTGAAGTGTGAAGTGTTTATAACAGAAACATTTATTGTTTATAATAACTGGTCTCTTAAAAATAGTCTAGCGAATTTTTCATGCAAATGTTAGAAATATCAGTTATGCTGAAATGAATGAAATCCGCAAACGTGGCACAACAGAAGCATATCCCCAGTGTTTAAGCTTGGCTTGCCTTGCGAAATAATCAGCTACAATCAACACGAAGTGTGAGCATTATTCACACAGAATCGTGTTTCCTCTGGAGCGGGAGGATGCCCTGCAGCAGGCAGGATGATGGTGTGAAGTCTAATCTGAAACTGGAATAGGCTAAGGAACCTGGCATTTGATGTCCAGGAAACTCCCTGTCAGTCACCAAGATTAAATTACAATAGGACCACATCACCACTGAAGGTGCAACAGCTTCTTCACCTGCTCCTCTGACTCTGCCCCCTGAGAAAGTGAGAATTAGATGTGGATCAATGTGCTGGAAAAGAAGGGCAGGAAAGAGGAAGCAAAAAATGGTGGAGAAGAAAGGGAGAAAGGAAGAAAGAGATGGGAGAGAAGCAGAAAGATGTGGGAGGTTAAGAGACCTTGTTCCAAAAGAAAGTCAGCCCCTGAGGAGGAAAATTACTTAGGGTTGTTCTCTGTCCTCCACACACGTGCGCACTTGCACACACTTCGCGGAACACACAGCACGTGTACAAACACACATGCACACATGACACACACGGACTATCAGGTTACGTGCTAACTACAGCTGCTTTGTCCAGATGCTATATATCATCCAAGCATGTGTATGTGGTCATTCCAAGCACTTCTCCAGCACATCCATACTTCGTGCTAAAGATTCAGAGACAGAGAAGGATGTCATCTGCCCAGAGTTACACAGCCAGCATCAGCAAGAAACTGATCAGCTCTCAGCCCAGATACTCACCACTGCAGATAGGCAAACATATTATGTTGGTTAGTGGTTAACTGGGAAGGGGAACAGGTAAAGAAGGGAAAAGGAACTCCGTATTTGGAAAAAAGAAAAAAATAGATAGGTTATTTGTATCCACAACAGGTGTCTTTTCTATAGAGGGAGAAAAGTAAAACAGCATTTTATTTGCCAGTACTCAAAATTCTGTTACTGTGGTCAGATGGTCACAGTTCCACGTTACCGGGGAGTTCTATGGTGAGTTATAAAGCAACCACAGTCCTAGTGATGAACAGAGTCCAGTTTCCTGGTTCTCCTCCAGTGTTTTTAGGACTTTTTGAGTACTCCTGTTTGCCTCCATGTGCTCCACTGGAAGATAGTCTTCATCTCATGGGGGCAGCAGATCTGCAAGACAAAGAATCCAATTCTAACTCTAGCTATCTGACCCTGAACAAGTTACTGTCCCCTTTATCTTGCTTTTATTATCTGTACACACCAGGGACTCACACGTCCTCATCAGATAGTTATTGAAAATTTTGAGTGGACATTTTTTTTAAGTTTGGGGTGCTCAGAAGATGTTAAGCATCATCACCAAATTAAGAATGCACAGGCTTACCTGTCATTTCTCCAAATGAAAAATCTAGGAACTCATGTCTGATATTCTGAAGCAGTTGTGTCAATCGTATCTCCTGTGTGTGTGACATCAGCATTTGTGACATCAGCATTTGTGACATCAGCATTTGTGACATCAGCATTTGTGACATCAGCATTTGTGACATCAGCATTTGTGACATCAAGTTTCTGGTCTGAAATTTGTATGACACCTTCTGATATTTAGTATTGACCAACATACTGACTGATAGTATACAGTTTCTTTTTATTCCTGGGTTGGATTACGTTCTTTGGTTTGTTTATTCCTTGAAGAAATATTTGTGTGTCCATGCAGCTGTCTGTGCTTCCTTCTTTGCTGTGGAACAATGGTCTTTTATCCTGTCACTTGTATTTTAATAAAATGCCAATTGGCCAGTAGCCAGGCAGGAAGGATAGGCAGGGCAACCAGGGAGGAGGTAGAGGGGGCAATGAGAATTCTGGGAAGAGGGACGTTTTAGTCTGCAGTTGTCACTTAGACACAGAGCAAGCAAGACGTAACTGCCTCACCGAAAAAGGTACTGAGCCACATGGCTAACACAGACAAGAATTATTGGCTAATTAATATAAGTTGTAAGAATTAATTAATAAGAAACCAGAGCTACTATGCCAACCAGTTTATGATTAATGTAGACCTCTGTGTGCTTATTTGGGACCAAACATCTGTGGGACTGGGTATGACAGAAATCTCGGTCAACACTTCTTCAGATCAAATGGTTTATACAAGGTTTATAAAGGTGGCTGAGCAACAGGTACTGCTCCACACATCCCAGGCTTGAATCATACCTGTGGCCCTCTCAACCTGGGCTTTCATTTTCTTGATTGTTCCCTTGCATCCCAGGCTTCTTTCTCCTCTGGCCCTCAGAGTTGATATGATTACAAATGCATCATTCTCGGTGGGATGTTTGGATCCATCTTTTCACTAGTACTTTCCTGTTTCACAGCTTCAGCGCTGTGTAGTTTCTATTCCTGGTCTCATCTACATAGATTTTAATTCTAATCAAGAACAATCCTCTGTTTTCCTCATGGTCCCCTTGTTTCAAGTTGTCACCAAACCTGCCCCACAGGGGTCGCAAAGGACACTCTAATAATGCAAACCTCTCTATACTCCTGCACAAGGCATTTATTTCCCTGGCCCCCAACTTTGCACAACTCAAGGGAACTCAAGGTAGCATGGTTCAATTTACTGTCTTTACCCCATGCCAGAGACAGTAAGTTTACCATCCTGTCAGTGTATGATCCCTGCCGGCCCTGGCAGAGTCAGTGGCTTCAAAACAGAGATGTGATAAACCTAACATGGCCACAAGAAAAGTGCACAAAGAAGGGACATTTAGTCCAGTTTCAGTGTGCAGGGTTAGATTTCAGTAATGATATCTAGATGCAAAGTTGAACAGAGCCTCAAAACACAAATAGGTGTATGTCCAGGGCAAAGGGAGACATGGGTATTAGAGCTGAAGATGCAATGGGTGTCTCCACAATCTAAAGTATGAAACAAACACTTCGCCAGGAAACTGGAAGGGGCAAACAGAGAGAAGGGTTTATACAGCCTGGGGGTCTAGAAAATAGAGTTCCGAAACAGGCGTTTTACTTGACGGCGTTCATTGCATTGATGCTTGCTATGACTGTTGGCCTGGGTGAGGGGCGGGGTTATGGAAGTAGGTTTGAACAAGGATGGATGAAGTGGAGTTGGCATAGCTTTTGCCTCGTCTCTAAATGAGGGCCTTGCCGTTTTGGAGGAGCATGAGCCTTCTGTTCTCCAAGTGTCTCTCCAGTCCTATTCTACCTTGCATGCTAACTTCTCTCAGTAAGGACACCCTTACTCTTTTGCTTCCCACTATTTTTTCTGCACAGACATAAAAGCCTGAGATTACTTGTACCGGAGGTGTGGTCAGTTGGCATGACCTTTCCTTTCTCTATACTCGATGTTTTGTACTCTTTCCATCTTAGAATGTCATTTTCCTTTCTACCTATGGGGTCAGAGATGGTTCTAGTACTTATGTCAGCCACTTTCCTTACTGGGATCTTCTGATGACCACCACTGACAGTCACATTGATTCATTTCTTTGGGTAACTAAAGGGTCTTCTAATATGGTGCGTTTTATCCTTCATGTAGGGGTTTCTCTATAATTTATAGAACATTATTGACTTTTTCATTTTAGTAACACAGGGGAATCAAATTTAATGCTTGGATGTTTCCAGTCAACCAGAATGAAAATTAACTTTGCAATTAAAAGCCTGCTTTGACACTTGAATGAGTTCCCACTGCAGGGATGCTGTTGCAAAGAGAGCTAACTCATCCTGATTGATGGGAGGGAGGGGCTTCCTAGCAAGTTTCTTCAGTCAGAAGTTAATGGAGAACATCCCTGATCAGGGGTCACTGGGAGCTGGTAATTGAGGCAATCAGATGCTGCAATAGGTGAGCTGTGAACAAATTAACTCCTGGGTGACAGCAGGAGACAGAATGTGGCTTCAATATTTATACCATGCAGCCATGCTCACTCCTTTTTAAAACAGAAGAAATTGTCATCACTGGATGAAATTGGATTTAATAGCAGGCTACCATGTGTACACGAGTTTTTGAACAGAGTATTTTTCAAAGAAAAATTAGAAAAATAAATACAACCAAACTATCTCTATAGATTCTCTCCTTCTCCCTGTCTCTTTCTTTCTTGTTTTTTTTCTATTTTGATATTGTTTTGGGAAACTAGATGCCACAGGATAGTCTTAGCAAGATGATTACCCAAACAAGAAGGATTGCACCTTATACCCAAGGCCCTACAATCTACTTTCCTGACTTAGCAAGTACTAGCCTTTCCTTGTTTCTCTCATGTGTTCCAAATTCTTCAGATTCAAATGTGGGAAGATTATTTAGTTGTGACATTTTGGTGGTATTTTAGTAATGGAATTGCAGACTAGGTATGGTTATTGAATGATAACTATAATTTTGAATCAGCTAAATACAAATATCAGCTCCTAACATGTCTAATAACTCAGCTGACAGAGCAGTGTGGAATTAGACACAGACTATCCTTGAATTTAAAATAATAACCTGAGTCACTATCTTCTTTTCTTGGGACCTAGAGGAATGTCACTATATATATGTTAACCATCTCCAATCCTCTCAAGATACCTTCAGTTCCTTCATAAGTATCTGCAACTCAAGATTATTCTGCATCAACCATTTTGCACTTTAATTATGATTGTTTTCATGGAGTAAGAAATGGGATGTCATACCTACTTATCAATAATATGTTGATTTTAATTCTTATTAGCGTTATAGTCATTGTCTAAGACTTCACATGTGAACATGTTAAGATTTGGGATGCTCAGTGCTTCACCTGAGGTGAGGGGCCTTATGTCAGCTAAGGTGCAGACTCAGTTCTGATGAGTAATGACCCTCTAAGAGTTTTAGCATCTATAATGTGGTACTTCACCAGCTTTTAAAAATTAGTTTAGGTTAGTTTCTGTGATTATCTTAAATTCTAAGACAGTAACTGAGTGTTTCTTCCTTTTACTTTCAGGTCTTCTGCCCTGTATTCATAGCCTTTAATTAGTGAGTGTACTGTACATCCTTCAAAGATTGTTTTCTTCTGAGAAAAAGAGATGCAACATGGGTCTCAATGTCCCTCTATTCTGGGATATGCCCATAGTACCTGAGGTATAGCCTCTGTGGATGCGGCATTCTCAGGTCTTGCCTTGAACAACAAATCAGTTCAACTGTACACATACTCTGAGCATCAAAAATAAGTAATAAAAAGCACACAATCAGAAATGTATTGGGCTAGTTTGTGAAAGAGCAGTGTGCTCTAAGCATGGAGTCTACTCCCTGTCTGGAGAAACTCTCTGAATTAACAGATTTCTCTGTATTTGCATGAGAGAGGTCTGACACAGGATTTGTGCAACATGTTTCATTTTATTATTTTTTTCTTTCTCTTTGAAACACAGATTTAGAAAAGCATTTATCACAAGAAGACTTTTATTTTAAGGGCATTCATCTTAAGAAGGACATAAAATTTTTTAGACATTTTGATGATTTTTTTTTACTCTTCTCCAGTTTTTCCCAGATTATCCCCACCCCCCACCCATCCTTTATCATGTTTTTTCTCTCTCTCAACAGGAAAACAACAATCACAAGCAAACAAAAGATGGCAATCAAAATAGACAAACTAAAATAAAATCTAAAAGACAAAAATACTGAAACAAAGCAAAATACACACACAGAGAGACAGAGAGACACAGAGTGATGTAGGAGGGTCATCTGTCTATGTGTTACTTTCATTGGTTAATAAAGAAACTGCCTTGGCTTTTGATAGGACAGCAGCTTAGATAGGCGGAGTAGACAGAACAGAATGCTGGGAGAAAGAACCAGAGTCAGGCAGACGCCATGATTCTCTGACCCAAGATGGATGGAGATTAGGATCTTTCCCCATAAGCCACCACCTCGTGGTGCTACACACATTAATAGAAATTGGTTAATCAAGATGTGAGAGTTAGCCAGTAAGAGGCTAGAGCTAATGGGCCAGGCAGTGTTTAAATGAATACAACTTGTGTATTGTTATTTTGGGTGAAAAGCTAGCCATGTGGGAGCCAGGCAGGACAAAGGCAGGCCTGCTTGCCTCTTTACTACAACAGAGAAAGAGAGAGAAAGGGAGAGAGAGAGAGAGTTTTGTGATATCAACTACTCCTGGGCTTGGGGATTGCCATGGAGCTTGGTTGATATGACATGCCGCTGAAGAAACTGACAGAAATACAGGTAGGTAGAGACAAGACCTTGACATCATTCAGTCTGAGGATTCATAGAGACAGGAACTCCACCATTCAGTCTGAGGATTAGTAGAGACAGGAAGCCCCATTCTGTCTGAGATTATGTAGAGGTAAGAAATATAGTAGAGGCAAGAGGTAAGAAATCTGATTCTCTGATCTTTCAACTTTCATCCTAATATCTGACTCCAAGTTTTTATTTAATAAGACTTATTAGGATAGAACTCAGGGTGGGGGAATAGAGGGGAGGGGCTGGGGATTGGGACCATGAGGGATCAGGATGGTAGAGTTG